AGGAGGAGGAGACCCTGCAGCGGGCCGACATCGCCCTCCAAGGGCCCGAGTTTACCAGACTCGCTACAGTTTGTCAGGTAGAAGGATCAGATTGATCGTCTGCAGTCCAGCTCTATGAACTGGAGCCCAACTAGGGCTGCAAACACATCATCAGATAAACTCCATTTCTCCTCAATGGGCAAATTTAGCCGCGTTGATGGAGTAGCAGCAGAAGGAGAGGATGATAGAAACATTATGATAAAGCTTTGGAACATGCTAGCAGTTAGCGTAGTAGATAGTGAACCATCATGAGGTCATGACCTTCATGGAAGTTCTATCATTCCTCTTAGAGCAACCATAACCAGAACCGCCTTTTTAAAGCTCTGCTAGCAGAACAAAGTCCGTTTCTCAGTCAGTGTGCTGTTCTCTCGTCCTCGTTAAACGTCATCATCCTCAGCGCTACTGCTGTTCCAATTCACAAGAACAGCAGACCGAGAACAATGTCTCCGGATGTTGTTCTCGCCACTGCCTCTTTACCCAGCATGCATCAGAGCAGACTTGTCCGTTTACCAGACTGACAGCTGTCCCAGCATGCACAGCGGCAGCAGCAGCTTCCAGGTTAGCGCTCAGAGTATCAAGTTAAATGTTCTCTTTTCTGTTGCCGTTGTTCAATAAGAACATTTTATGATCATTTTAGGCGAGAATATTATATTTTAAGCTTCACTATGTGTCCCATTTACTGCATAAATAAAAAAAAGTTATGATGTTGAGAGGACCGCGGCAACCAGCGGAGCTCTAAGGCTAACCACAGCCAGGGCTAAAGTCTGTCTGCAGCAGCCAAGGCTAACGTTAGCCCGCCTGCTGCGGCCGGGGCTAACGTTAGCCCGTCTGCAGCGGCGAGGGCTTATGTTAGTCTGTCTGCAGCGGCCAGTGCTAGCGTTAGTCTGTCTGCAGCGGGCAGTGCTAATGTTAGCCCGTCTGCTGCGGCCGGGGCTACCGTTAGTCAGTCTGCAGCGGCCAGGGCTAACGTTAGCCCTTCTGCTGGTCCAGGGCTAACGTTAGCCCGTCTGCAGCGGCCAGGGCTAATGTTAGTCCGTCTGCAGTGGTAGTCCGTCTGCAGCGGCCAGGGCTAACGTTAGCCCATCTGCAGCGGCCAGGGCTAACATTAGCCCGTCGGCAGCGGCCAGTGCTAATGTTAGTCCGTCTGCAGCAGCCAGGGCTAACGTTAGTCCGTCTGCAGCGGCCAGGGCTAACGTTAGTCCGTCTGCAGTGGCCAGGGCTAACGTTAGTCCGTCTGCAGCGGCCAGGGCTAACGTTAGTCCGTCTGCAGCGGCCAG